TGATGCAGTGAAGAGTGACACAATGTACAATTTACCCCTTGCACATGCTGAATAGAACAGAATATTTGTTCCATCTGGAGTCATCTGAGGTCACTGGGGGGTTCATGTTCTATGGCTTTCTATCTGGGTCACAGGCAGGGAACAGGTGTTCTTATTGGAGTCACCCGAGGTCATCGGAACACAACTCAAGTTATTTTTGGATTTTTTAGAAGTAGAGCCGTGTTCTATTGGGTCACCTGAGGTCATATGCGGGTGATTATCCATTTTGTTTAATGTATGGATTGGGATGAATAAATACCCGATTTTGACTCTATTTGTGACATTACGGCGACATAAAGAATGTGGAATGGAGCCTTCTGATTGGTCAACGTCACCCGGCTATATGATAATAAGTATTCATGGATAAGTCGCAAGTCGGCTCTTTAATAATTTGGGCTAGATTTAAAAGTTGTCCGGTCCAAGAGCCACCAGTGTTCACAATTCAATCCTTGGTTGATAACTCTGGTACTTGAAGGCATGGCTATTTCTTGTTCTCTTCTGGGCTGTATTAGGTACATAGTAATTGTGACCACGTTTCACCACGTTCAGACTGTGCTGAAGGAATAAGGACACGGACATAAGTGCTTTAGAAGTTCTCAGATTTTATTCACCAAGAAAATGTAAATCACACTAGCAATAAGGCGTTAATTAAAGCAGAGATGAACAAATCAATAATCTACATCACCAATAGAACATTAACTTACAAGTACACCTGGAGTTTAGAACTTGGTATCAAGAATGAATCCTGTTCAAACTTTGCACTGGTACTACACGAGTTTCGGATATCTTATGATTTGGTTGTACATTTAAAAGGATGACATATAAAAAGTTGCAGATTAAGTTAAGACACACCAAAATATCTCTTCAACTCCAACCACTATCTTTGCATATTTTGATCAATTGAGTTCGGCTCTAGAAACACTATTCAAATACATTAAGAGGTGTTGTATCTCTTACTACTTAAAACAGTACAAACAACGTAAGCCTTACGAAAGAAATCAAAATATGTGCAAATCTATAAACCGCTATATTTGATTTTGGTACAATTTGTAAGAACTACAAGGAAACATAAACATCGACACCTCAGACTTACTAGTGACCACATCTACTGATAATATATGTTGCCTAACAGGACCTTGCATAAAAAACAAAGAAAATGCGTGTCATAATATGTCCATTATCTTTAAGTTATTAACTACACTATGTTAGTTAAGCATAAAAAGGAACACCAAATATGTAACTTGTACGCCACACTGTTACAGTGTGTTTAAGTAAAAACTACATGGTGTAATTTGTGCTGGTTTATGTCTTCATGTAAAAGACTAACAATTATTGACGGGTAGACTCATGGATAGCAGATAAGTTTTCCCAGGGTGTAATAGCCTTCTTCGCGTGCATCACCAGTATCTCCAAACCTGAGCTGGGTGACCGGCAGGTCATTTTTGTGGGACAGGAACCCAGAATCCTCACGCCATCTGAGATCATTGGCATCACAATTGCATCTACCGGAGCATGCGCCTGTTGTGCAGGGAAGTACAATAAAAAAGCTTGTTTGCGAAAGGTTTTGCATCAAACCAAAAAGTAAACATATTAAGCAAACAGAACAATGCCTCAACATTCAACAGTCATTGTCTTTGAGTAAAAATAGACACGTGGAAGACCTGCTCATGGTATTGTACCTAGAGCAGTCTGCACAATGTAGGATCAATGCAGGATCAAGTTATAATTACCTGTTTGTCCACAGGCACATTTCCCACTCCCAGGACTGGCACCTCCCCAGTAGTCAGTCTGGCGACCGTCCCAAGTCACCCACCAGGCGTGGGGTCTTACAGTCGAGCCCCAGATCACTGAACCATGGCATTCATACTGGAAAATGTACATTTTTATAATTCTGAGCTAAATGTCACCATGGCGTTTGCAATATCACCGAGTAAGAATCATTATAGCAACATATAATGTCTTGAGTAAGGTATTGTATTATTGTTTAAAAAATGTACTTGGTAATATATAACTGCTTATCACCCATCTTAAGCCATGTTCAGCTTGTACCCTACTGACTGTAACTGGTACTTGTTAGTACTACTGGGATAGTGAAAGTTGGAACAGACATACGTTAAGCACAACCGCATCTCAGGCTCACACATGGTATGTCTGAAATGTAATTATAAATAAAACGTACCTTGATGAGCTGTTTGCACAGAGATGACTGGTCCACCACAGCTCTCACTTGGTCCATGCTGTTCCAGTAGGTCACATCCTTGGAGTAGCTTGCTGGAGCCTCAAACCCATCCACATGTGTCCGTGCCTCACTGTCGTGGCCAATCAGCGTAATTGCTGAAATTGTTATAAAGTGTTCAAATATCAGATTGTGTAGTTATTGGTAAATCTTATCTATTTAGCCTGTGTGAACATTATCATTACGGTTAGAAGCCTAAAATTTACACGGTCAATTACCTAAAGTTTAATGTTTTTATCTCCATGAAAAATGGAAGTATTGTTTTGGCGCGTCTGTGTGTCTGTCTTTCTTTGTGTTTGTGTTTCTGCACATTTGTAGTCAGTATAACTTCATAACGCCTTTATGGATTGTGATGATGGGCCTCCTGGTGAATGACCTTGGTACTGCAGCAGAACTCCCGGTTTTTGTATCTTTTGTCCTGAACATGCTATGGTCTTGTTACCTCAATGAAAAATGGAGGTATTGTTTTTGGCGTGTCTGTGTGTTTGTCTGTCTGTCTGTGTGTGTGTCTGTGTGTGTGTGTGTGTGTGTGTGTGTTTTTGCACATTTGTAGTCAGCATAACTTCATACTTGGGACATCTGTAAGATAATCAAAAGTTAACATCACGATGCATATATTTTTTTAATGCAGAGGTCATTTTCATAATTAAAGAAGAAATTTACATTTACATATCAAGCCCATATTTCATGGAGGTATTTAAACTGTGAGTTGACTGTCAGTGCACTCTTTAAAGTTTTCTAACCTGTTTGTCCCTCCAGGTCGCACTGAACAACCATCGGCAGGACCCCGCGTCCTGGTCCGTCAGGGTCGATCACGTAGAACGCCTGGTTATCAAACCCACTTCTTCCCGCTACTTCGGTGCAGCTAGACGGTAGATTGCATGTATCTGTTTTGGAAAATCAAGAAAAAACGAATACAACTTTAGGTTCGTGCATTTATTGTGATGTTACCAAAAGAAATAGGATAGTGAGGGTTTATGTCTACTGATGTCTCCATAAATATTTCGGAGTTAGTGGTGAATGTATCAAAGATGTAATATACAAAACATACGTTACACCTGAGCAAGGCATGGGCGTGGGCGTGGTCTCGGTTGTATTCTCCAGGTCTGACACCCTCTGTTCGAGATCCTCACACTTCCTTTGTAGTTCATCTATTTCTGTGGGCTTTTGGGAAAATGCACCTATTAGTACCTGTTAGATTAGTAGAAGCATTTATGGATTATGATGATATTTGGTATGTTGATAAGTCTTAGGAAGACAAAGGTCAACGTCAAATATTGGCCTTCTGGTGGATGACTTGGTACTGCAGCAGAACTTCCGTTTTTTTTATCTTTTGCCCTGAATATGCTATGGTCTTGATGTTTTGGTGACAGATTGCTTTTCCTGTCAGGAATAAGTGGTGTGAGGTTGGTCCTCTAGCAGCTTGTTCTGGAACAGCAGGGCACTTTCTGGCGAAATCTTTAAAAGCCAATAAGTCCAGAAAGAAACAAGAGTTCCGAGGATTCATACCTCCATGAAATATGGGCTTGATATGAAAATTTCTTCTTTAATTATGCAAATGACCTCTGCATGAACATGATATATGCATCGTGGTGTATGTTAACTTTTAATTAACTTACAGATGTCCCAAGTATGACATTCCCATCATTCACCATTAATCAGTACGTATTTTCATCATTTGTGGTGTGTAGGTAGCTGAGAGAGAGTTGTACATAATCAAATCCAAATTATGCAAATGAGAACTTAATTTGCATAATTGATTGGGAAATTCTATAATTACACTATTTTGCATAATAGTACTTTCATACATTTAATGTATGTAATCTACGGCAGGTCGAACATCAACAGATACCAATTATGCAAATGATGACCTAATTTGCATAATAAATTTGAAAATTAATTTGCATAATTAATGAAGACATGTTACTTGAAATATATTTTCAAAAGATAGGAATTTCACAAGCAAAACATTATAGTTGGAGTAAATTAGAAAACCATAAAATTTAACTTTACTAGATTATGGTAAATAGTGATAATTATATTTGAATTA